GGAGAAAGATTTCCTGCCAGTTTCCCCTTGCTGGCTACGGACAGTTTGGGAGCAGAATGGGAACTGAACCACGGCACAAGGTCAAGCTCTCCCATGTGGCCACAGCTTTAAGTGTTTATACAGGACAACTTTTTCTTAAAAAGGGATGGCTGCAACTTCACTAGCAATAGTCAGGTATTATGCTGGTGAAACAGTACCGAGCAGAGGTGTTTGCTTTCCTGTTACACCACAACAAAAAAAGCAAAAGCCCACGTGCTATTTAGCAGTACTGATGGGTTTGGTACCACGTTACAAATCCACCTGTCGAGAGAGCACGCAGTGATGCACACTGAGCGTTATGTGCGTATTGTGCCCTACCTGTCCATTCTCACACTTGAGCGTGTTCATTTCGAAACTGCTGAAAAGACCACTGGTATTTAAACATGCTTTTTGATTAATCAGGAGCTCACCATGCTCGGTAGCATCTGTATTCATGGTTTCTACATCTGCAGCATCATGCATCTCTTCATCCTCATCATCATCCTCTTCATCAGCATGTAGTTCTTTTGCAATGAGTTGTCTTGCCAGTTTGATGTTTCGTCCTTCATTGTAGTGCATTTTTCTCTTCATCTCAAACTGTTTCTTTTTCTCTGTGGACAAACAAATATTTATTTTTCCCCTTTAAAAAAAAACAAACAACTTCTTTCCTCTTCAGAGAGTCACTGACTGCCTCCTACATCAAATTTGTTCCTAATTTGAAAGTCCATTCCTTATATGATCAAGCAATCCACTGAATTAAAATTATTCTCTTCAAGCAGTGGAGTGATCTTTTAAATGAGTCTGACTTACAAAAAAGCTCATAATTAGTAGACTGAAACGGCTGGAGCACTTTTAAAAGAACCTGTATGCAAGTAAGAGCAAATCCAATCCAGGAGAAGCATAGGAAATTCCAGTTTCACAAGCCTTATTTCTAAGTAAACTTGAGGTCAAATTGAGCTGTTCTGGTGGGACAGAAAATGAACTTTTGCAGATGTCTGACTTGACTCCTGGATAGTTACCAAAGCCCAGTTATAAAAGATGTATTTACCACATGTAGGAGAAAATATTTTTCACTTTCCCCATGGCCCAAAGTATAACTTTGCTCCATATATCAAACATTAGCAGGTCTAGCAGTAACATGTTATAATGAAATTAAGCATTACTTATTGGCAGCCGCAACAGTGTATTTTCTTCCTTTAGAACAGTAAGGTTACACACTCAAAGCTGGGGCTAGGAAAGATGAGAAGCAGACAGATAACACAGGCCTGAAACCTTAGAAGCATCATTGTTTGACTGTTTCCCCAAAATATTCTAGCCCAAACTAACACAAAACAACATCTCTGTTGAAAATGAAATTTGCTTTGGCACAAATGTAGATTTTCTGCTGGATCGGTCTACCAGTTCCTTTGATAACAACAGAAACTCACCTGTATGTTCGCAAGCATCTTAATTGCAGCAGTACTCATCAAATTATTAGCTCTACCTGAAATATCTTCAGTTTAAGAACTACTCCCTCATCCCAAAACCAGAAGAGCTTCTTATTTGAGAATTCTAGGTTTCTTAAGAGGAACTCCCACACCTTAGGCTTGTATACATGGCAGCAGCCAGTAACAACAAATTCCTGTTTATACGTACATCCCAAACCAAACAGCCCTAATTAGAAACAAACGGCCTATTTGTTCAATCTTTTTACCTACCCTTCAAAGGTTCTATTTTTAAATCACATTTTTCTGACAGTACTTTTTCTTCCCAAATACTTCTTACTGAAAATCTGAAACTATTTGTAGGAAAAACACCAAACCAAAGAAAATAACATATGCCTACCTCGTTCTTCGGGTGTTAATTCTTCATCCTCCTCTTCCTCCTCACTGCTTTCCTCTTGCCTTGCTATAATCTTGGGGCCTTTACCTTCAGCTGCAGCTGCCAGCCTACAGAAATCATGCAATAATAAAATAGCAATTTTTTTCACTATTTAAAATACATGACATTTCAGAACACTCACACAGACTTTCATTATTTCTGAGATATCTGTGTGCTAACAACCTGCAAGAGGTTTAAAGTAGTAGCAGCACTATCAAACACCAAAAACTATTTAATTTCATAACAGCAAAACTTTAACTTCTGCAGAAACCAGCAACACCTCTCCATAAAAAAACCCAAACCCAAACTAAACAAACTACTCCAGGAAAGAGAAAATTATCTTAATGCTTAGTCAAGTTTCTGTGACCGTACTTACTTTTTACTCAACACATCTGCTTTTATGGGCTCATTTGATTCTGAATCACTCACTGCATCCTCATCATCTTCTCCCACCATGCTTGGAGAGCAAACAGAAAGTAGCCTTCATCAATAATTTGCTGCTTAAATTTGCTTAATAAAATAGTCAAAATCTTTCAACATTCAATTAGAAGACTCCTTCAATACTTCAAAAACTTTAGAAGTCTGATTTAAAAACTGATATGACAATTTCATATTCTAGTACACAGATGTTAACTGAAAAAAACACCCCAAAACCCAACACAGTTTAGGACAGCAGTTTAGCACATCTACCTGTGATAAGGAGTACTGGGCTCATCTATTTTCATCAAGCCATAGTCTTTGCCTGCTGGGTGGTACGTAGCAATGATGTTCATTTCATCCCACTTCTGAGATTTTTTACTGAAATAAGAAATCAAAGTTAAATTTGCTCGTATTTTAAAAACAACTAGGTCTGTCTGGCCACAGAAGGAATATTTAGAACATCTTTCAACCTCTACTACATACTAAGCACAGAGACTATTGCTATGACACACAGGCATGTTCAAAGTATGGCTATTAAATACTGTTCTATACATACTTAAGTCATTACAAATAATCAGTGCGATTTCCCTAACAATTCACAATAGCTAAATAAACTCGGTGATCTGTTAATGTATTCTTATTCATATACATATCTATATTTTCCTGAAGAGACTACTGGCCTTGTTCAATCACTGCCCATTAACTGTCTGCTCTTGTAACAAGTTACTGTAAAATCATTCTTCCTTTTATTACAACTGACAAGACTTCAATAAAACCACGTAACTTCGACCTCACCTCTGCTCAGTAAGCTGCTACGATTATTAGTGAAACTATTACATAAATAATACCAACCAACAAATAACTTCCTGCAATAAACAGCACTGAGCAAGCTGGTTATTAATATTGCTTTTGTCATCCTAAATTGGAATCATAAACCCAGAACTGATTCACTGCTGCAATTAAGCCAAGGGAGTTTCACATTTTATACAGACATTTTAATGAGTGCTGTTACATTATTTAGAATTTCCTCCATTAGTAAGAGAATGTACCATCTTACATCTATTTGCAGAAACCAAAGTCCACCCAGACTTACAAAATATATAAGCCACATGGAAAGCAATCGCCTTGTGGCCAGAGGAAGAGTCACTCCTCTGCTGACCTAAAAGCTACAGAAACATTTAATCAACAGAAACTACCAAGTTCCACATTTTCTCTCAAAAGGCTACTACAAGCTTCACACATGGTGGTTTTTCCCTTAGGCTTAACCAAGAAATTTAACTTTAGAATAGTAAAGTAACTCCACTATTTAATACTACCTTATGTATTAACATATTCCTGTTGCAAATCATTATTTAAGGAAGTAGATGTTACAGAGCTTGTGTTTTTCTCTTGGTTTTGGGGTTTTTTTGGGCATGGGGCAGTTGACTGAAAGATTTTACCTAAACTACTCTTAATTAAACACAGGCTTTTTGAATAACAAATTTGAAAAATATATTCAATCTCAAGAGCACAGTTGCTCTTGAGCAGAATACTACCTGCAAAATTAAACCAATCAAGCAGAATTCCAAGCACAAGCTAAATTTTACATTTCCAGAGAGCACTGCAAACTACAATAGGGAAAAAAAGCCTGAAGGGATAAAAAAAATAAAAATAGATGCAGGAGTTGATCCTGAATCCCACATGCTTAGGATTTTTACTCCAGAAACGAATACAAATTAAGTGAGCTTAATCCCCTCAGCACACAGTGACCAATACCAAACTCTATGTTTGAAGCTTCAGATCCTTTTAATCATTTTGTCTGAGCTGCAACACAAGGATTGCAACCTAAGCGGACAGCACGTGAGTCCGACGGCCTGCTCTGGCAGGGTGGAGAGTCATGAGCTTCACGATGACAAAGCAAGAGCTCTAGTCCAGGAACGCCGGTTATTCAAACCTACCTATTTAGAAGTTGAAAAATCACCAGCTAAACATCAGCTAAACACCTGCTTAAAGTTCATCCATGATTAATGTAAGATCATCACACAGATACACAGCGAGCCCATGAGAATTTTTACTAGCCACAGCAGTTAGACAATAGTACACAGCCCCAGTAAAGAGCTAAGCTGAAGAGGAAATAGAACAGATGAGAGAAACTCCATCACATGCTTTGTGTTCTCTGCACTTGGCCAGAGCACATCACAGCTTACTGCCGGGGCTCACAGCTCAACACCCAATAATAATATCGGCACCTTAAAAGAATCTCTACAGCATACGTCACTCTCAAAACTAGACAGCCTGCAGCTAGCAATTCAGTAACTTATAAATACAAGACTGAGGAAGCTGTTTTAATGGTTTAGTTTTTCACACTCATTTTAAAGTCAGGTTCCCACACTAAAAGCCTTGGCTCTGGAACACCTCCCAAAGCACAATTTAGAATTCAGTTAGGAAAAAAAATAAAATATCACTAGTGGCAAACAAACATGTCATTTCACCCTTCCACATAAAAAGCTATCAGAGGAGAGTGACTAAGTGCTCTAAAAACGCACACCTCCCTTGGCTGTCTCCAGTTTAGCACATTGAGGCATGCCTGAGCAGACTAACATTAATGATAAAGTTTAGGACCGTCACAGGAAAATGCTTCCCAACACTCCTTCAGATGCAGAAATAGGAAATCTAATCTTCCCAAGGAAAACCAGATTTAAAAAAAAATCTCAAGAGTACTCACTTGTATTCTCTCACATCTTTAAATATATGTAACTGTTTGACACCACACCTCGGCAGCAGTATGACACAATACCTCTTACACCTCAGTTGCTCCAACCACAGCTGAGTCCTCTCTTGCTCAATCCAACACAGGTGCTTGTGCACACACACACACAGAACTTTGTAAAATAACAGCTCAGATGGCTCACAGGCTCTTACAGGACCCTTAAGGCAAAAAACACTTGTATACCAGGAACACCAAGAATGTATCTACCATGAAACTATGATCACAGCTCTTAGAATGCAGTTCCACTGGTGGCCCAATTTCACAAGCTTCCCTCTTGCATCATCTTTTCATTAAGGAAGTTTTCCAAAAAAATTTACCATCAATACCTTGAGAGCTCTACTGAATATGGTGCTTTAAAAGGTGACAGCGGCACAATGAGTGCTTTCATCTGCAGCTATTTTTAAAGGTATTCAGATCTGAACTTCAACATCAGAAATAAGCAGAGAAGGCTGCTGGTAAAGGTGCGTGAAAAAAGTAGGTATCTTCATTGATAATTTTTAATCTTCAAGGAAAAAAAAAGTCACAGATGTACTGTTTATCATTCTTTTAAGCACAAAAATACTTTGCTGAAGTCAGAAATAACAATTACTTACTGAAGAGATATCAACCAAAAATAATCCTGCACACAAACCAGCTTTAAATACCCTACAGTGATCTTTCCAGGAAATCTCCTAATGCAGCCCACCAAGTTCAGCCAATATCCTTTAACTTGCAATGCAATTTCAGAATTAATCTAATTGATTTTATTGACTTGCATTGGTAAACAGGAAATAAAAGGTCGACTCTTGCTCACTTAATTATTTCACAAGAAATTACTGTGTACTATAGCCAATACACCACACACTCAGCTCATCAGTTTGTACTCTAATTTCTGATCATACTTCAAGGTGGTACAAAAGAGATTGCAGAAAAAGAAACAGGTTACCAACAGCCAGTTCTACTTTGTCTGGTGTGCTAGTAAACACCTTGTGTTAAAACTGAAGAACAGGAAAAAAATGCAACGTTTATGTAGCATACTGCTACTTAAAACATCACCTCATTTCTTCAGCTGTAATAACCTCTCTCTGGAAAGCAGCAGCAGCTAATACAGGCAACACAGCAAAACAAAACTTTTCATTCTTACATCACTGACTTTAGACTTTCATGACTTAACTGGGCAAAGAGAAAAGGAATATTACCATAACACAGGCACACACAAAATTTTTTCCTTCCTCTCCTTGCAATATTGAGTGAGGTCTCAAATGAAGAAAACCATTAAAAGTAATTTCATAAACACAGAGTTCAGGTCAAATCCCAGTCATTGTAATGTGATAGAGTCTCAGAGTAACATTTAGGCAGCTGGGTGCTAACGTCGGAAGAAGTGCAGGAATCGTTACTGGTGAAGGACAGCTGCTCGTTGGCTCAAGACCACTTCTCACATAGTTAGACTAACTTGGCATAGTATAAATAAACCAAGATTTTCGTGTTATTCAAAACACAAACCACATGGCCAGGGCACATTCTTAAGCATAAGATCTTTACAGATGGATGTCTCACAACTGAGAATACATCTTACTTGGGTGTCAACCCAGAAGAGGTCCTCTCCCCAGGGACATGGCTCTCCTTACAGAGAAATAATCACAGAATGGTCACAGTTGGAAGGGACCTTAATGAACACCTCGTTCCAGCCTCTGCCACGGGCAGGGGCACCTT